ATGTCTTACCTTTAAAATTTAATAGAAGGAACTGAGACAGGTTTCTGTGTGAAAGAGCTTGTATCAAGTCTGGCCTCAAAACACCAAATCCTTTCTTCATTCAAGACTTACATTACACAAGTACACTAGTCCCTTCATGTCTGTGCATCATCCTGCCACTTGACTTCTAATTTGGTTTCTGTGTTAAGAAGAAAAAATCAGAACAATGAAAACATGCCTTTAAACTTATGTCAGATGACCTTTAACCTTTGAACATGTCCTGTTCAGTGGTTCTAGGCTTGAGAGAAACAGAAGAGAGGTACTACCTGCTGGTGAAGGAGCCCAAGAGGTTTAGAGAGGCTTCAATGAACTGCAAGCTCAGAGGAGGCACCCTGGCCATGCCCAAAAGCACCAACATCAACCGTCTCATGGCAGACTATGTTAGTCAGGCAGGACTGACAAGAGTGTATATAGGAGTGCAGACTCAAACCAAGGGCATGGTAAGTGGTTTTGATTATATTAACTAGGTAGTAAAAGTAGTAAGGTAAGGTAGTAAGTCTAATGCTTTTTTGATACTTTTAATGTGGAAAAATAAAAGACGGTTGTGTAAAGTGTAAGAAGGACATATTTTAGGCTGTTGTCGGCAGTGTTGGTCAAAAACAGAACAAAATTAGTTAACAAATGATGACAAACTGTTTTGTTTTGTTTTTAATCTCTTCTCTATTTTCTGAATTTTTCAGGACGGGAGCAGTCACATTTATGCAGACTCCACCCCTCTGCAGGGTTTTGCATCTTGGAGCCAAGAGGAGGAGCTACAGCCCAACACAAACTCCAGCTGCGTGGAGCTGCTCAGCACTGGAACGTGGGCTCACGTGGAGTGTGAAGCCACCATGTTTTTCATCTGTGAGTTCCCGAAGAGCAGGAGAAGAAGAGGAGGAAGAGAGGCAGTTGCCTCGTCATCATCTTGACCTTGACCACTCACTGCACATGTCAAGACAGGGATCAGACTCCTGAAAAACACATTTATATTTCACATTTCCTGCAAATATGCAGACAATTTCAGTTTGATTGAGACTACTGTGTTCGCGTATATATGAACCATTACCACCAACAAATCAGTAAAATTGTTCTAAAATTAACTAAAATTGGGTTTCCTCTTTTAATTTCTTTTTCTTTTACAGTTGTAGTGGCTTTCACTATCCGATAAAATATGGGGCTCACTTTTACAGCAGTTTTTACCTATTCTGTGGCACTGCATCGGTATCATTGAAGGCTACGGCTGTACTGAAAAATTTATATCAGGGTTCAAGAGGTTGGTTTAAGCAATTAGATTAGAGTAAAATGGTCTTGTGCTTAAGCACACAGGCTTATCGTGCTATTTCACACAGAGAGTTACTCACAACTCCAAAGCAAATTAAAGTTTACTAAACGTCTATAAGAGATTTACAACTGCTGTACCCGTCTGCTCAATTACACGTGTCCAGAAGTAAAGTACAAAGAATATATGAAGAAAAACTGAGTAAGAAAACATGATTAG